TATTATATATAATATTTTTTTATTATATCGTGATTAAATTGCGCGGAACTGCTTGCAGTTGATAATGAAGCAGTTGTTTGGAAAAGAAGCTTGAGGGGGAGAAAAAGCTAGATGATGGGGAAAATGCAAATTTTAACAAAAGTGGCTGGAAAACCAGTTTTTGGTTTTTGGGACATGGCTGCAGCCTGTCCAGAGTAAAGATGATTTTGCTGTGTTCTTTATCTATCCATCCATCCATACATACATACATATATGAGTCATGGAACTGTGCTTACAGCTCCTTATTTCATGTAAACTAATAACTTGTGTACCTGATATTTTTTATTATTTCCAATAGCATTAAAAGAGCATTAAATTAGAGTTTCTCATTCCTGTATAAACCCTGTGAACGCTTAATTTAATATGACATATTAAAAAAGTCCCATCAGCATCCAGCAGATGTTCAGTTTCTGCCCAAATATTTTCTTTATGTTGTGGATTTTTGTAACAGGAAGAGCTAGGATCATACATGTTTTGTATGAACTATGTTTGTTCTCTGCTTCCAAACTCAGCATCTCTTCATCCAGGCCTGCAATAAGTTTCTTTTAAGTTTTGAGATGGTTTTGATTAAACTTTAAGCCTCTCTGTATAAAATAAATACTTTGAGGAGATGATAAATCTTCTTCCTTGTATGTTGAAATACCAATAATCTGCAACCAATCATTTAATTAATTGCTCTTAGTTTTTGGGAATATATACGAATTTTGCTCTAATTTCTAGTTACTGATCTGTTGTTACTATTTTAATTGGACAAACCGGTTCTTCTCAATGTTCTTTTTCCTGTTTGGTGCGATTGCAATTGCGGGTGTCTTGACCTGGCCCGACCGGAGCGGAACAAAAAATAGCTCAGCTCCGTATTTTAGCGGTGAGAACTATGTGGACGGAGACGTGCGGTGGATGTAAAACAGCTTTCATTGATTTACATGAAAGACAAGTACTCGGCACAACGTACGTGAGCGGAGCGAAGTGCTGATGGCGTATGTGGAATCTGGGGGTTAAACAGATTAAATTATACTAAAGTGGACTTTGTTTACTTTAAGCTTGCTTTATTTACCATCCATGAATCCAGTGTGGCTAGCGGTGTTCAGTAAACACTCATCCCACTGTGTAGATGTCTTTGTAAAATCAATTCCTACACCTCACTAATTAGTTTATCGCCACTTTCTACTGATTTGCCACCCAAAATGTTAACAGGCATAGGGGCGTGAATACTTTTGTAAACCTTTGTTAGTTTGTAGTTCCTTAGTTTTTTTTTAGGAGAACCTTCTGCAGGAAACTGGAGGTAGTGTTTGGAGGGAAATAAGTCTGAGGCGTTTAGAGCACCAAAACTGAACGCTGTAGCTGCTGACATCACTGAGCTGTGAACAGTGGCTCTACACTCACTTTATTATTCACTATCAGGTAGACAAGAAGTTTGGAAATACTTATCTCGAAGAAAGAGACAATAAAAGTCACTGAGAGCTCATTGATCATATAGCTGATCCAGTAGCTGCTGTTTATCAAACCACTTAGCCTGTTTCTGCATATAAAGATAGTTATTCTCTCTGGTGCTACGCGGGTCTGTTATCTATGACAAAAACATGCAGCACAGGCTACAGCTTTGGTACTGAGATCACATTTGTTAAAAATGGCTCTAGTTTAAAGTGGGGTATTCTGGTTTAAATGATCCACACTCCTTTGCAGATTCAGATTAAAGCGACCTGTTTGACCATGATGTTGGTGCTGTCGTAGCATTAACTGGTGGAGTGACCCACCCAGAGTCCAATCAGGACTCTGGGTGGTCACTCCACCCAGAGTCCAATCAGTTCCCTCCACTGTGGAGGGAACTGAAGATTAGTTTTAACGTTCCTCTGAGCTAAATACTTCCCTCTTTAGCATTTCAGGATTGTTAACCCTTAAGGAGTTTTAATTATCCATTAAAAGATGCCTTTGTCTTTTCCTAACTTTGGATCAAATCTGAATCAGCCAAATGAAACGCAAGCCTTCTTTTACCGTCATTAGCATTTATGCAGCAATGTTCCTTTATTGTTGATGGTTTTCCAAAAGTAAAATAAGGATAATAGTTATGTCAGTAAAAATAAAATGCATCCTATAAATCTACAGATTTATAAATATTTAAAAAGAAAAAAAAAACTGCTGTTGTTTTCAAAGTTTACAGCTGTTCACATATTTAGTTTTTAATCACATAGCTGTTTTATTTAGATGTTTTTGGAATTAGCATCCAGTTTGATGTGAGTTTGTATAAAACTGACTTCATGTGCGTCTGTCCTACATTATTTGTTTATTACAAAGGACAAGAAGCCAAAAGCAGCTTTGCTGGTTGGCATGAAATAAGACTCCTGCAGGACACTGTGTCCGTGAGCCTCTTGCTAATTTGCTAAGACAGTGGCACAGTTTGCCAGGGTTGGGTTACTCTATTGGGTATGTTGAGACTTGAGACTCTCTAATAGCTAGTTTCCATCCGTAGTAGATTAAATAAACATGTTTAACCCGAAGGATGTAACTGATACGGCTCCTACATTGAAAGCCCAGTGACTCTTTGTTTCACACCAGTGGTGACATCATTTATCATAACACTGAAATGTCAGACTGAAGATGAAGAACAACAAACCAAAAAGTAGAGAAAGTATTAGTCAATCATGCTCAAGCAAACATAGCCTGATAACAATAGACAGCTGACATCTTTTAACAAGCCAAAAATATTATTGGAATGAATGAAGCTCTGATCAGAAACACTTAATCCAGTCTTGTGTTACTATGATCACTGATGTTACAACGAGCGATTCAGCGAATCGTTCAGATTGGGGCTGAAACAATTCATTGGAACATTGTGATTAATTGATTATTGAAATAACTGTCCACTAATTTAGTAATCGATTAATCTTTAAAATGGATTATAGAAACTCTAAAACATGCTTTTAGCTGACAGGGTGACCCACTTAGAGCAGTAATTATTCCAAGATTGTAAGAAAAGAATATATACTGGACTTTCCAGACTATAGAGTGCATCTCACTATAAGCCGAGCCCACCACAATTAAAGGGGAACGCCGTTTTTTTTACATTGGACCCTGGATTTTACGTTATTACATCATGTTCTACTAGGTTAATAATGTATTTTCTGAGAAAATAAATGCCTTAAAATCCTTTCTGTTTTATCAGTTGTCTCTGCCTGATCTGCACCGGAAATGGGATCCTATGCTACTTCCAGGAGCTAAATATTTTGGCTTTTCACTAAACAATAATCTAGTGTTTTTGAGTTTTATGTTTTCCTTTTGTATTACCATTATGGTATAGTGCGTGATCTAAAGAAAGAAACAACTGAAATGCAGATAAACATGGTTTAATCACATTTTGCCGGACTGCTCGGAGCATGTCCCATGATGACGTCTGAGAAGTAGTTTAACGGAGAAAACGTAAAAAAGCAACAAAATTGTCTCAGAAAAGTCATAAAACATTTTTTAAAGATGTGTAATAGCATTTTTTTGTGAGTTAAGGATAGAAATAAGTCATTTTAGTACCATAATTACATTATTTATGGAAACCCGGATGTATATCTGTTTGCGCAGGACGGATCGTGCTTCAGGGAAGGGTCGGGTAGTGACAGCTTCTACTGAAAGACGGGGCTTCGTCTGCTCTGTATTTCAGCTCTGCAGTTCAGCCCAGTCTTTTCATTAGTTCGGCAGCTTTAATGCAGCAAATAAATTTGGCAAAATGTGTGAATTTAAGTCATTGGTTCTCTGTCGTGCCTGCTGCTAGCATGTTCTTGTGCTAAACAAAAATTAGCCCCTTATTCTCCCCATCTGGCCGTTAGGAAAAATCCACATAATACCTGCATCTTCTTCTTCTTTTTATTGATTCTTCTTTTAGGTATACAATTGGTAATCAAGATTATTTAAAGAAAAAAGCACTAACCAGATTAATCGATTAGCCAAATAATCACTAGTTGCATCCCTAGTTCAGATCCACTCATGATCGCACCTTTTGGTTTAGAGATTTGTTTAAAAAAAACACTGGTTGAATGTTTCTATTCAAGCTCATGTAGGTGTAACTATCACTGGTCACACATTTAACATCTGTCTGGTCGAGTTTATTTCTGTTTTATTTCTTTTTTGACTTGTGTTCCCCTTTGGTCACTTTTTTCATACCATGAGTGCCCCTCTCAATCAAAAGTATTGATGATTGTCCAAAAGTGTAATATACAATAAAATAAAAATAATTTTACTTAATCTTTTAATTTGAGCATTTAATTATTTGCCATTTTATGCTTTCCATCTCCAAAAAAAAAACAAAAAAAACAAAAAACAAAACATAAATATGTTGCAGACTCAGGAAGGGAATCATTGTCCTGGCACACACACACTCCACTTTCTCAAATTACATTTGGTTTGAGGTGAGGGTCTTTGGGGGGGCATCCAGGGGGCTGAAAGCAGGACTTCTTCTAACTTAGTTTAAAGAGTGCTCTAGAAAAAAAATAACTCCTTAATTCCTTCCAGGGTTTCTGTCGATTTGAAGTGAAGTTAAGGAACTGAGAGATAATCGCTATCCAGGGTATATTCTGCAGACTCTGCGTCAGCAGAATATACCCTTTGCATGATGCTGCCACCTCCGTGTTTTTGGTTTTTGTTTCTCAGAGGTTCTGAAATCATTAAAACACCAAATGATTCTGACATCCTTTCCTTTCACTGGTGGATGTAAACATTGTCGTTTCACTCTCTCTGTCTCATGTTTTAGAGGAGATGCCCAATGTGACGTTTGCACTGACTGAGCACGGAGGCCACATGGGCTTCTTTGAAGGAGCCGTGCTTTTCCCTCAGCCCCTCACCTGGATGGACAAGGTCATAGTTGAGTACACCGACGCCATCTGCAACTGGGAGAGGCAACAGAAGGGCTGCCAGGGGACCGCAGAGCCAAACACGCATTCATGGCTGAAACCCAGTGGATGACACCTGCATACCTGAGGCTTTGACCTCATGATTTTACAGTAATTCACAGAAAAATCTCAGCAGATTAGGTTTAATCCTGCTTGGGGTAACAGCAGTGAGTGTGATGTGATCTAACACTGAATAACTGCTTCTTTTAACCACTAATCTACCATCTCCTTCATAGAAACTCTGCAGAGAGGCGCACGCCAACTCTGAACTGCTGGTAGCTTTATTTAACTCGCTATTCTCTGCAAGCTGCAAAGAAAATAATCACACTGACTCATAAACGTAATTTGTCCATCTGAGATATCAGACTGATTATAATCCCTCACAACTCCAACCAGAACCAGCAGGACTTCCTGTACCGTTTCCACGGCTGCTTTCCAGGTTAATATATAAAGTTTTATGTTTTCAGATGTCTTTTAGCTCGGACTTTTTTTTGATAGCTAAATTATTGTTCTGTTCTGTATGAGCACTTTAAATCGCTGTGCTTCGGCAGCATGAGAGAGCTTGAACCATTCCAAGGACTGATCCACAGCACTTTATTTCATTTTATTGATCTGTAGTTTACATTTCAATCTGTCCCACAAATATGACAGAAACAGTCTTTTTTTTTTATTGCTTCGAGGCTTTATTATAAACTCCATGTGGCTGAGCCCCTCAGATTAAATGCCAAATTGTAATAGTTTAAGCTGCTTACAAATTTCCCTCATTAGTTAAATACTTGAAACAAAAGCTGTTGTCTCTCACAGCAACACATTGTGCCAGAAGCAAAAGAATTTGAGATTTTTTTTTTTTTTTTTACAAGAAATTGTGTTTTATCTTTGAAGTAAACTCTTAAATACCTGCAGCAGATGATACAACTGCACCAGCAGTGATCTTTGTAAAACACTTTCTGAGAATGAAGGAAAAATACGGATGTGTAAAACCGAAACAAAATCCCTAAAGGCAGAGTTGACTGTTGTCTGTTGTCCTGATCCTCTGACTGCGACTCTACCTGGAAAAGCTTCACATGTTCTGTCCTCAGGATGTGATTCACGCTGGGAGTCGGTCACTGGCGCCCCAGCTCCTTCTTCCCTTTTCTACTCAAATAATCCCTGCCTTCATTGTAAATCTAGATAAAAGAATCTTTTCAGCATAAACCTGCAGGCAGATCAAAGCTTCTGTGGTGCTTTTTAAAAATCTGCATATAGCCTCCTGAACCTAGGGGTCTGTATTTAAGATAGTAACTGCTTCCAACCTTTATTCACCACCCCTTCTTCAAATCAATTCATTTTGTACTTGTTTAATCATTGCTTTTTATTATTAAAATAAAGTGATTTTTTTTTTCTGAATGAGTTATATTTTTCTTGCCTCCATCATTGATCATCTTTTGAAGAAAAAGTCCGGTTAGCAAGGGATGATCACTGGATCATTATTTATACCTAAAACTTACATGTTTGCAGTAATTTAATGAATTTAGTGTTAATCAGTAAAAAAATAAATAAATAAAATAAACCTCGCTCCTGCCATCTTCCAGCAGTGACGTCACGGTGCGGTAAGCCTTGCACCATTCTCCCGCTTTACAAGCAAAATCAATGGGAACTACTAGACACATCTGCA